TCGGGTCATGATCTCAGGGTTGTGAGATTGAGCCCTGCCTGGTGAGCTTGGAGCCTGATTGAGATTTTCTATCTCCCTCTCCCTTTGCCCCTCCCCTCCTCCAAAAGAGCAAAGCCCACAGTGAACAAACTTTCCATCTAATGCATGAACTGGAGCTATGTAGGCAGTTATGTCAAGAAATAAATGTTAGGGGTGCCTGGGTGGCTCAGATGATTAAGCATCTGCCTTCGGCTCAGGTCGTGATCTCAAATCCTGGGATCGAGTCCCACATCAGCTCCCAGCTGCTTCTCTCTCTTTCCCTCTGTCTCCTCCCCCACTTGTGTTCTGTCTCTCGCTCTCAAATGAATAAATAGAACCTTAAAAAAAGAGAAAGAAAGAAAGGGCAATATTTAAAGGGTACATGCCTTTTGACCCAACAATTGCATTTCTGGGAAATTTCCCTGTAGATACATTTGCCCATATGCAAATAACAAAAGTACAAAGATATTCTCGGCTACTTTGTTTATAGTCACAAAGCAGGAGAGTTGAATGTCCATCTCTAGAGCATTTGTTTAAAAGATATATGGTACATTCATACAAAGGGACAGAATGCAATTTGTTAACAAAATTTCGTTGGTCCTAAATATGCTGACACGGAATGACCTCAGAGAATTATTGTTAAATAAATTTTTTTTTTTTAAAGCAGCAAGGTAAAGAACAGCATGTTTAGTTTGCTGCTATCTCTAGGTTTATTTATTTAAATATGCATGTGGGGTTTTTGTTTTTGTTTTTGTTTTTTGTTTTTTAAATTTAAGCAACCTCTACCCCTAATGTGGGGCTCAAACTCACGATGCAGAGATCAAGGGTTGCATGCTCTTCTGACTGAGCCAGGCAGGCGCCCCTATATGTGTATGTGTGTATTTGTGTATGCCTCTCTGGAAAGATATAAGGAACTTGTCATGGTAATCACATTGATGGAGGAGAGAGGTTGCTGGGGGACCGGTATGATGGACTTGATCTTTATATGTCCTTTTGTAGCTTTTGAATGTTCTATGTTAATAGCTTACTTATTCTAGGGGCGCCTGGGTGGCTTAGTGGGTTAAAGCCTCTGCCTTCGGCTCAGGTCATGATCCCAGGGTCTTGGGATCAAGCCCCATATGGGGCTCTCTGCTCTGCAGGGAGCCTGCTTCCTCCTCTCTCTCTCTGCCTGCCTCTCTGCATACTTGTGATCTCTGTCTGTCAAAACAAAAAACAAAAAACAAAAAACAAAAAAAACCTTTAAAAAACAAAAACAAAAACCACAAAGAGATATCACCTCACACATGTGAAAATGGCTATTATCAAAAGCACAAGAAAAAACAAGTGTTGGCAAGGAGGTGGAGAAAAAGGAACCCTTGTGCACTATTGGTGGGGATAGAAATTGGTGCAGGCTGGGGCGCCTGGGTGGTTCAGTAGGTTAAAGCCTCTGCCTTTGGCCCAGGTCATGATCTCAGGGTCCTGGGATCAAGCCCCGCATTGGGCTCTCTGCTCAGCAGGGAGATGGCTTCCCTCTCTCTCTGCCTGCCTCTCTGCCTACTTGTGATCTCTGTCTGTCAAAAAATAAATAAAATCTTTCCCAAAAAATATCTTAAATTGGTGCAGCCACTGTGGAAAACAGTATGGACATTCCTCAGAAAATCAAAAATAGAACTACCAGTTATTATGATGTTAATCCAGCAATTCTATTTCTGGGTATTTATCCACAGAAATACTTATCCAAAGAAACACTAATTTAAAAAGATATATGCATCTCTATATTTATTACCTCGTTATTTACAATAGGTAAGCTATGGAAACAATCTAAATGTCCATTGGTAGATGAATGGATAAAGAAGATGTGATATATTTATACAATGGAATATCACTCAGCCCTAAAAAAGAATTAAATCTTGCCATCTGTGACAACATGATGGACCTACAGGGTATTATGCTAAATGAAATAAGGCAGAGAAAAGCAAATACTGTATGATTTAACTTACATATGGCATCTGAAAAACAAAACAGGGGCACCTGGCTGGCTCAGTCAGTAGAGCATGCAACTCTTGATCTCAGGGTTGTGAGTTCAAGCCCCACATTGGATAAGAGATGACTTAATAAATAAATAAACTTAAAACAATTTAAAAACTCGAGGGGCGCCTGGGTGGCTCAGTGGGTTAAAGCCTCTCCCTTCAGCTCAGGTCATGATTCCAGGGTCCTGGGATTGAGCCCTACATTGGGCTCTCTGCTCAGCAGGGAGCCTGCTTCCCCCTCTCTCTCTGCCTGCCTCTCTGCCTGCTTGTAATCTCTATCAAATAAATAAATAAAATCTTAAAAAAAAATCTAAAAACCCAAAACAAATGAACAAACAAAATAGAATGAATACAGACTGATAAATACAGAGAACAATGTGGTGGTTGCCAGAGGGAAAAGGTGGGAGAATGGGTGAAATAGGGGAAGGAGAGGAAAAGTACAAATTTCCAGTTATAAAATAAATAAGACACAGTGATACAATGTACAACATGGGGACTATAGTTAATAATATGTAACAACTTTGTGTGGTAATGCTTGTTAGCTACATCTTCAGTGATCACTTTGAAATGTATATAAATGTTGAATCATTGTATCATATGCCTGAAACCAATATAATGTATGTCAAAAAAAAGTTCTGGAGAGGCACAGTAGTGATGGTTGCACAACAGTATGAATGTACTTATTAGCAATGAATACTGCACTTCAAAAGGGTAAAATAGTAAATGTTTTTTATTTTTTATGGGTATTTTACCACAATAAAAAATTGGAAAAAAATAATGAACAAAATTAACAATAACAAAGGCTTTGAAGCAAAACCACCTGGGTTCAAACCTTTGCCTGTGATCCTGGGTTGATCTAGTTAATCCCCGTGTGCCTCAGTTTCTTTTGTCTTTATTAATAAATTTATTTTTTTAAGATTTTATTTTTAAGTTATCTCTACACCAACGTGAGGCTCAAACTCACAACCAGGAGATCAAGAGTCACATGCTTCACCAAATGAGCCAGCCAGGTGCCCCTCCTCAGTTTCATCATCTGCAAAATAAGCACAATAATGGCACCTACTTAGCAGTTTGACACATAAGAGCACACAATAAACATCAGCTGTGATTATTATTAAAGATTTTGCTTTAAGGGGCGCCTGGGTGGCTCAGTGGGTTAAAGCCTCTGCCTTCGGCTCAGGTCATGATCACAGGGTCCTGGGATCAAGTCCCGCATAGGGCTCTCTGCTCAGTGGGGAGCCTGCTTCCTCCTCTCTCTCTGCCTGCTTCTCTGCCTACTTGTGATCTCTGTCTGTCAAATAAATAAATAAAATCTTTAAAAAAATGTTCTATACATATTACATGGTTTGGCACATACAGGTACTCACTAAATATTTGTTGACTAGATGCCCTCTTAGTTGTCAGATTCCCAATGTGCTCCAGTGATTTCAACACATATTGAATTCAACACATACTTAGTAAGTCTCTACTGTGTGCCAGTCTCTATATTAGATGATATAGCAGTGAACAAAACAGCAGTATCTGCTGTCTTTGACTTAGATTTGGGAGGAGAGTGGGGGAGTGGTTCTATATTTGAACTTGTTCTAGCAAGCAATTCCAAACCAACCTGAGCATCAGAAGTCCTAGGAACTTTAAGAAAAAGTCTGAGGTGGGTCGGGGGTGGGGTGGATGGGTGGGTGAGGGAGCTAAGGTGGGCCCTGGAACTTGCATTTTTAAAAGGAAGCACTTAATAGCTGGTCCAGTGTTTCTAGCATTGAGCTCTATAAAGTATTTTGGTGAGTGGTGGGATTGGTCACAAGCTCTATGGCCATTTTTATGCTTGGGGTTTTTAATAACAGGATTTTAATATTTCTTTTACCAGTTACAGTTGCCAAGTTTCTCCGTCATGATGATATTTCCTAACTGAAAGACTTTGAGTTTCTTAAATCAGTTTCTCATGTTGGGATTTCACAAGTATTTCCCCTGGGGTCTCTGAATTATCCAAGTTTGAGGACCACTGAATTATCCAGTACTTCCTGGAGCGAGGCTGATCCACGTCTCCTCAAGAGTACCTTGTCCTCCCAACCCAAGGGGACTTGGGTTCTGACCCAGACTATGTCCCAAGAGATACCACAGAAGGGTCCACTTTATTCCTGAACGGTGGGCTTGCAGCTGAGAATTGCTTCAGTTTCAGGCGCAAATGATTAGGACTGTAGCCCTTGGGCTCTGTATCTCTGGCATTTCCTTCGACCACTTACCGAACGCATGAGACCGTGGAGATTCTCACCTACACACCAGGGTGCCCCCTTGGAAGAGGTATTTTGTTGGACCCCACCGCCTGGTGATAGTGATACCGAAAACTGGAGCTTGGGAATCATATATGCCTAAATCCACATTCTGCCCTGTCTCCCTCAGCCCCACCTTGCTCCTCAGGTGTGTGTTCTTGGGAAAACATACTGATACTACTCTGCCTCTCAGTTTTCCTCATCTGATAAAAGGAGCTAGTAACAAGTCACACTGTGGGTACCTCCATTAAGGGAGGCTTCCATTGCACAATCAAGGCACTCAGTTTCCCTTCTTCGGTTGACGTCCAAGAGCACGTCCATTCACCACAGCCCTCCCTCATGCCCATCAGCCGCCGGGGATCCAAATGAGTTAAATTCCTGGCCCTAGGTCTATACAGTCTCAAGCCATTGGGGAAACTGCCCAGTTGCCCCTAGGCCTAAGTGCAAAGGAGGGTGGGTGCAGCTCTGGGGTCGGTTCTAGGGATTCAAGGAAGGCGGGCGCAGAAGCTCGACGTTCCCCTACTCCAGCCAGCTTCACTGCCCCGGAGGGGCGGCGTTCCAGCCTCTGGAGAACCTCTGCCTGGGACCACGTCCCTTCCGAACATGGCGCCATCCCTAGGCCGCCTCGCTCGGCACGCCGCGTTGACGTATGTTCGAGCGCGTCCTCCGCGCCAGTCCCCGGCGCATGCGCACTCGGCGCTGTCTTCTCCCGGCCAGAGCAGCAGCAGCGGCGGCGGCGTTTGAGTGGAGGAAGATGGCGGCTCCGGGCGGCTCGGGGTCCCGCCAGCTGTGAGGAGCCCCAGTGCGGCTAGCGCCGTTTGAGGCGGAGCGCCTCTGCTCTGGCTCTGTCCCCGGCTCCCTCATCGCCGTCGCCAGCGGAGCGAACCCGAGAGCGTGGCGCGGGCTGGGCCAGGTGAGGCTTCTCCCTCTCCTGGGGCCGCGGCGGGGAGCCGGCGCCTTCTGCCCTTTATGCCCCAGGCCCACAGGGGGCAGGGGGCGCCCCCTGCCCGGCGCGGGCCGCGCATCCTGCGCGGGGGTCGGTGCCGGCTGGCCTGGGGGCCTTGCTGTCGTCATCCTCGGCCTCGCTGGGTTAGGCAGGGAGGAGGAGGAGTGCCCCCTTTCCACCTAGCCTTTGGAATGGGAGTGAACCCGGCCCCTCTCCTCAAGCAGGGCGCCTCACATCCCCTCACCGCGTCTACGAAAGGGTGTTATGACCAGGGCAGCGATGGCTGTCAGGGTGTCAGCTAATCTCTCACCCAGCCCCCGGATCTTTAACGCCTTGCGGTGAGGAGCCGGAGTCCAGCGCCTTCCAAAATTGGGGCTGCGGCGAGGGGCCGGCATCTGTGGTGAAGCTGTAGCTGCAGAGGGGGAGATTTTGGAATCGGTTTTAAAAAATAAAACACAAGCAGCCTGTCTTGCCGCTTAGCTTTTCGAGTGTTCCTCCGGCGAAGTGGTGACTGCGGGTCTCCTTGATTGAGACGGCAGTCCACGTTGTGACTGTAAGAATTGTTGGTGCAAAGGGAACGGTGGAGGGTGGGAACGAATTTGTAAACGGAGGAAAACCCGATTCTGAGATCTTGATGGTCTCTGCAGAGTAACTTAGGTGCTAATGAAGCCTTCGTTTGTTTGAGAACCTTTGTGTTTTTTGAGCTTCGGAATAGCTAATCGCTTTTGTCTGTTAAATCTCCTGAATTTTATTCGGAAACTAAAAGCTTTCATTAATTGCCCAAGCCTTTGGGCTTTTCTGTCGTGGGATTCTGATTGCTGTGGGTGAAGATTCAGACACCTTACCAGTTCTCACCTACTGGCAAGGACATTGTTATTCCTTTTTGGGAGTAAGTTTTTGTTGTTCAGCTGCTAATTGGGAGGTTTTGATGTAGTTTCTCACGTTGGGAAGCTGGCTTGAAGCCTTGTGATCTCTTCCTTGAAGAATGATGGGATCAGCTGGAATTGTGCTATGGGGAAAATGTTTAGGCAATGGCTTTGGCTTGGACACACTGAATATCTTTGTAACTTAAATTTGTTTTCCTTGTGTTTAAAATGATGACATCATGGGTTTAAAGGGAGCAGGAAATTAGAGGAGAAATACCATCATTTAGAATAGAATTAAAATTCAGTCTGCAGCTTTTACAGTGAATAGTGACTCTCTGTGTCAAATTCCTGACTTTGAGCATATTCATGTGTAAAATCTGATTGGGTGTCCTTTCTATTGTGTGTTGTCATTTTATACCCTGTAACTGTTTGCTTTTCACAAACCCAGTATAAATCTATTACTCAATCTACGTTGACCCACGGATGTTTTGTCTACCTCAAAAAGCTTTTAATTGTTAAAATGACAACTGCTTGATTTAATATTAGCTAATCTTTGACCTTTTCTTAAAGCTTTCCCATAGAGATTTGTAGATTTTCTTATTGCCTTTCATAAGGACATAAACCTGAACAAATAACTTCACAGAAAATTGAAGAGCCACCTTAAATTTCAGTTTGCTAAGAATCATGCAGTAATGCAGTAAAGCATCCTGATGGTTTGACATTATGCTTCTTGGCATAATGTGTTGTATTGTTGTGCTAAATCATCATCAGGTATTGATGCAACTTCATGACATCCATGACATCATTCTCTCTCCAGCATTTTGCCCTTTGTAAATTTCTTACCTTCTCAGAGTCTCAAAAAGAACAGGATCAGGAAAAATAGCTTAGGATGCTCCTTATTGTCTGATTGCTAAAAGAGCCTTCATATAACACCGCTTTATATAGTTACAGTCTTCTGTAAGATTCAGAGCCGTTCATGATTCCTACCTATTATGAAGAGCAGGCACAGAAATGCTAGTAAAATCTCTGGGTTTTACAAGGATATTGAGGTCCCAAGGAGAAGTTATCTCAAAGATGAACAAATACGTGATTATCTTTTGTGATTTCAGGGTTGTTTTAGTCACTGAATTAACAACTCTTTATAAAACCAGAAGCCGTTTGGTTAACTAATGCCTTTTCCACTTGGAGATTGTTACGTGGGTCAGAAGAGATAATGTTTTGTGAGAGTCCTTTGTAAAATAACAGGTAAATGTAAGATCGATTATTCAATGATCAGTTTTATGAAAACCCCTTACTGAGGGCCCTCTATATACGCTGGGCATTTGGTCTCATTTTGGTCTCAAGTTGCCTATAGTCTGGTTGGGGAGCCAGACAAGGAAACTAGTTAAGTATGTTGTAGTTTAAAAAGTAAGAAATGCACAGAATCCAACCGAGGGAGTCAAGGAAGGCTTCTCAGGGCCAGGATGGCTCCATAGCCTTTCCTATTCTGCAGAAAAATCTGCCTTTTGTGAGTGACTTGCTTTTTATAAAAACTTAAAAATATTTTTTTATCTTGACTTCTTTCCCCCTTTTATTCATTCACAGTCATGACACTTCCCACACAGTATGCCCCAGTTATGATTTCTGCATTCTCAAAAATCTAACAAAGTCTTGGGAGAACCTGAGAGTGAGTCATATACCAGGCAACAAACACAAACATTGCAGCTGCAATGAAAATATCTCAGATTATTAAACGGTGACAACTTTAGAGTGATGATGTTTTTGTTTTTTTGTTGTGTAAACTAGCATAAGAAGCAATGTAGGACTTTAATTTGATCACGTTTAGTTAATGTTTAGTTGTCAATCCCTTAGAATGTGTACTATAAGTAGTTGTAGTACTGTCTCCTTTCTCTCAGTAATAAATTAAGCGAGAAGGTCCTTTCTCCTTTTTGGGCGAAGCTGACAACTTAAACCAGGACTATACTGAACTGTTTTATAGAATTCATTCATGTAGGTAAAAGTTGCTTAGCCTCTCTGATATTGAACTTCTTTATCGCAATACAAGTTCCTCATCTTAGTGCTGTGGTAGTTTTATAATTAATTTAGCATGTTGTCGTCTGTATTGCAAACTTCATGAGTTTTGGGATGTGTAGAATCTTTACGTGGTACAGTATCAGTAGAACATTTACAATTTGATAACACTCATGTTTACATATTAACCATGTAAATACTCAACACTAAAAATGAGGGCTTTAAGGTAGTGGTTGATAGAAAAATGAAGGTAATGTGTTTGTTTATTTTTTTATATTGTGAATTTGTTATGTATAGAAGGATATGACATATAGAGAAGTAACTTTAAAGTTGCCCAGTCTTGGGGACCCGGGTGTCTCAGTTGGAAGAGCTTGCAACTCTTGATCTCAGGGTTGTGAGTTGGAGCTCCATCTTGGGGGTATAGATTACTTAAGTAAATAAACATCAAAAAAATAAAAAAAATTGCCTAGTATTGTGCTCATAATTCAGCTTTGCTTTCTTCCTTCCTTCACTTCCTTCCTTTCTTTCTAGATTTATTTGAGAGAGAGGGATCATGAATGGGGGGCGGGGCAGAGGGAGAGAGGATCTCAAGCAGTCTCCATGCTGAGCTTGGAGTCCCACAAGGGCCTCGATCTCAGGACTCCAAGATCATGACCTGAGCCAAAACCAGGAGTTGGATGCCTAACTGACTGAGCCACCTACGTGCCCCCAGCTTATTTTCTAAATTGTTTTTTGTGACCTGGGGCTGCTGCCTGGCTCAGTTTATAGACCATGCTACTCTTGATCTCCGGGCTGTTGGTTCAAGCCCCACGTTGGCCATATAGCTTACTTTAAGATTTATTTATTTGAGAGAGAGTGAATGAGAGAGTGCGTGCGCCTGCGAGGGGAAGGGCAGAGGCAGAGGGAGAGAGAGAATCCTCGGTCAGACTCTTTGCGGAGTGCAGAGCCTGATGCAGGACTCCATCCCTCAACCTATGATATCATGACCTGAGCCAAAATGACCAGTTGGTTAACCGGCTGAGCCACCCAAGTGCTCTCCGTTTAGCTTACTTTAAACATATAAAGTGTTGGAAGAAAACAAAGCAAAACAAGAAAAGAATTAAATTGTTTTTTGTGACCTTCTAAATATCTTGTAAAATTACAACTTAGTGATATTCCTTTAGCTTGATTTTGCTCTTCCTTACTCATGGGTGTATTGGCAAGCAAATTTGCTTTGAATTTTGATTCTTTCTGGTTTTTTTTTTTTTTTAAAGATTTTATTTATTCATTTGACAGAGAGAGACACAATGATAGAGGGAACACAAGCAGGGGAGCTGGTGAGGGAGAGGGAGAAGCAGGTTTCCCACCGAGCTGGGAGCCAGATGCGGGACTTGATCCCAGGACCCTGAGATCATGACCTGAGCCAAAGTCAGACGCCCAACAACTGAGCCACCCAGGTGCCCCTGTATTAAGTTTTTTAAGTTGTAGAGTTTCCCCCAAGTTTTTTGTTTTTTTTTTAAGATCTTATTTATTGGGGCGCCTGGGTGGGTCAGTGGGTTAAAGCCTCTGCTTTCAGCTCAGGTCATGATCCCAGGGCCCTGGGATCGAGCCCCACATTGGGCTCTCTGCTCGGTGGGGAGCCTGCTTCCCCTTCTCTCTCTTCTGCCTGCCTCTCTGCCTACTTGTGACCTTTGTCTGTCAAATAAATAAATAAAATCTTAAAAAAATAAAGATTTTATTTATTTATTTGATAGAGACAGCAAGAGAGGGAATACAAGCAGGGGGAGCAGCAGAGGGAGAGGAAGAAGCAGGCTTCCCGCTGAGCAGGGAGCCCAATGTGGGGTGTGATCCCAGGATCTGAGATCATGACCTGAGCTGAAGGCAGGTACTTAATGACTGAGCCACCCAGGTGCCCCATCCCTCAAGTTTTGAATTTAATTTTTTCCAGTGTCACTGTTCAGTGTTTTGTTTCTAAAGTGGAAATGCTCTTGTAGTGCTTTGATACGTATTTATATATATGTCTGATAAATGTATAGGTATTTTTATAGAGTAGTAGTCACTTAGAAAATTTTACTACTTTGAACAGTAATTTATTTTATCTTCTAGTAATAT